GTTTGTTTAACACATTCGCACTAGCGTTCCTCTCTGCACGGCGTCTCGTTGGTTAAATTCCTTTACTCCTTCGACGTTGTCCGAGCTCCGCGTCCCGCGTTAGCCATCCGCGTTGCCCTAGGAATTCCGGAGGTGCCCTCGATCTCTCTTGCCTCCTCCCTCGTTGGTTTCCTTTCTAGTTTGTCGTCCTAGAGGAGGTCGAACTTTCTTCCTTTCGAAATTTTCGTTCCTGATCATCGGGTATTCTTTTGATTACCCTAGTTGTGAGTCGCGGGATGCTTTCTTCTCTGATCTTCTCTCTGAGCAGTGTTGATGCATGAAATGAAAAATTTTATCTTTTTCAGGGGAAATATGATGAGATTAAGGGTTTTTAGGTGTTGCCCAGTTTAGATCTATGACATTAGTTATTTTGAGAATCCTATGGCTTCTGACATTTTCTCTGGCTTTTCAGTTTTACGCATGTTGAGAGTTGTTTTGGGGATCATGTGGCTTCTGCAATTTTCTCTGATTTTGCGGTTTTACGCCTCTTGAGAGTTGTTTTGGGGATCCAGTGGCTTCTGGCATATTCTCTGGTTTTCGGTTTTACGCCTGTTGAGATTTTTTCGGTTTTACGCCTGTTGAGATATGTTTCATTTTCTATGCCCCGATATTTTGGCATTTTAACTGGTTGTTAGATTTGGGTTGCTAGCTGCGATCTTGGATTTTGTTTTGGGCATCTGTTTTGTGATTTTGGCGATCCTGGATTTGGTTTAGCTGTTGCTTGTGTGGTGGCAAATTATACACTGACTTTCTGTTATGGAGTAATTTGACATAAGGGAGTCTTGATTTGGCTATACAGTGGTTTTCCTCAGTGGAAATGTTGTTAATCCCTATGGCATTAGTTGTCTTGGTGCGGCAGTGGAAATGTTGTTACTCTATGACATTAGATGTCTTGGTGCGGTTTGATCTATGACATTAGTTGTCTTGGTGCTGTTTACCTCAGTGGAAATATTGTTAATCCCTACATCAAGGAAATGTTGTGAATCTATGGTGTGATTTGATCTGTGGCATTAGTTGTGTTAAGAATCATTGTTGGCCTTTTGTAACATTCGAGGGAATGTTCCCTACAGCAAGACTGTGAATTCGTTTTGTTCAAATGTCTGCTTTATGGGTTCTGAGGCCTGCTATATGGGTTCAAATAGTTGCTTTATGTGTTCTTATGCCTGCTGTAGGGATTTTCACCATTGATCAAATGCGAATTGAGAATGAATTTATGGGTTCTTATGTCTGTTGTGGGTATATTGTTCAAATGCAGTATCAAAAGAGATTTATCTGTCATTCGGTTTTTAGCAGACAAGGGCATGAATATCATTTAACCACCAGATTATTCTAATAATCTGCAGATTATTAGAATAATTTGCTTATCAGCAGATTATAAATAATCAACAGCTGCGCCAAACATACCCTTACTTGCATACCACCACATTCACACAATTTATGTCTAATATCTAAACTTTTATATTATATCAAAAATATCATAATGATTAGCTTTAAAAATAAATTATATATTTTTAATTAAAGGTTTTAACATCAAAAAATTATAAATATAAATATTAAATTTTAGATATTAGATATATAAATGCATAAGAATTATGTGGCGTACATGGAAAATTTTCCCAGACAAAAAAAAAAATCTAAAAACTTATTCTTAAGAGAGTCTGTGCCCTACATAAAATCATTATATTATGTCATATAAATATTTAATTGGATGAATTAATAAAATAAGTTAACAAAAATTAAATGTTATGGCCAACAAATTTGATATGCTTACTAACACATTATAAAATTAAATCTCATATATGTTAGGTATGACTCATATAACATATAAGGGACAGATGATGGAACGAGGCGGAGCGGAGCGAAAGAATTTGTGATGATTCCTATTTTTCTTTGTCCTAATTTCTCAACAATATTTTACCTGAATTATTTTCTCTTGTTGTAAATTTAAGTGACTTTCTTCCATCAAATAGAAGTTTATGATAAAAAGAGGACTGCTTGTTCTCATTTTCAAGATGACAATAAGTGATGCTAAAAAGAATTATATTAATGGTGATCATAGTTTTGTCTCACATAAGAAGCTAAAGGCTATCAAATTTGCTCCTTAAAATATTTTATGGAACCAGGTTAATCAATTATCCCATATTATTTTTATTTAAATTGAAATGGAAAAAAAAAATTATTGCTATAAATAATCCCTTGCATTTTTCTCTTTCACCCATGAAAAAAAGGGCTCTTTTAGGGTCCGTTTGGTTCGACTGAATTCGCGCGACACGATTTGAAAACTCGAGATGGTGCATTTGATTTTTGCGCCGCGGTGGGATTTTTAAAAAAAAATTGTTAAAACTTGGTCGCAGGGCATGATGGTGCGGTGTATGTGTGTTGTTGTAAGGATGTGGTCGTGTGGTGGATGAGTTGGTGTCATGATGGTGTGGTGTTTGTTTGTTTCTGTGAGGAGGTGGTGGCGCAGTGGATGGGTTTGTGTCTGTGTTACTTTGATGAGGTGGTGGTGTGATGTATGAGTTGGTGTTTTGATGTGCCGGTGTGTTTTAGTGTCTGAGGAGGTGGCGGTGTCTGGGTGGTTCTGTTTGTGTAGAGGAGGTGCTGGTGGTGCGGAGGCGTGTGGTTCTGTTTGTGTAGAGGTAGTGCTAGTGGTGTGGAATTTGGTGGAGGTTTTGGTGTATGTGTGAAGGTTTTGATTCCTGGTGGATGTGTTGGTGTATGTGTGGTGTTAGTGTGGTGTCTGGTGTTGTCTGTGTGTTACTGTGAGGAGGTGGTGATATTTGTGTGGAGGTGTTGGTGTGTGGAGGTCGTGCTAGTGGTGTGGTGGATGTGTTAGTGTCCTTATGTGTCTATATGTGGAAGTGTTTGTGTGAAGGTCTTGGTAGTGATATTGCGACATTATGATTTTTCTTCGGTTTTGATATTATGACATTCTTGTTTATATTAATTATTTTTTTTCATGCTAGTAATACAATAGTTAAGACTAAAGAAGTTGGCTCCTCTGCAATGTGGCACAAAGAAACAAAAATAATATTTTACAACCTTTGTTTTAAGGAGGTCAATCTGGGAAATATGTCTATAGCCTATTTCAACAAGGAAGGTGACAAAAAAATTATTAGAAACAAAAAAATTATTAGAAAAAAAGTACAGACAAAGAGTACGTAAAGATGTAATTAAAAAATAAGTGAGATCAGCTCAAAAGGATTGAGAAATATGGAGGGAATTGAAAAGAGGGTCAACGGGCTTGGGGTGGGATCCGATGAAGCGAACGATTGATGCTTCCGATGAATGATGTGCAAAAAGACTTGCGGTGAGCATTTTTGAAATGTCCATTTTTCGGCCAATTTTTAATTTATTCTTAAATTTAACAACATGTTATATGAATTTGTAGGTGGTTTATACTGAAAAAAACAATTACATTCATTGGAATAGATCCTGAGTTTGCGAAGAAGTTGGATCGTATGTTTGGGGGTGTCGTGGCAATAAGAAACAATGCATGTGCCCCAAGTGAGATAGGGTTTGGTGGCATTCACAAAAATTTGGGAGCCGACCAATCGGGTGATTCCACCGAAGGCCCCAGCCCGAACCTCCATTAACTTGAGTCTACGAGCTGTTCTAAACGCCAGCAGGTTGAAAATAAAAAGAAAATGTGAGTTGCTTTCCATACATCACAGTTGTTGGCTTCATGTGACAATGAGCCCAACACATCTCAAGCAACTTCTGTTTAGTAGGTTCTGCAAATTTTGATTGCAAATCCAGAAATTTCTGAGGACTTGTCAGTGTAATTGTATTCTATGAAGTTGCTGGAAGATTTGACCCGCGAAGAATTTTTCATCGTGATGTCTGCTGACAGTAAGGTGGCTTATCTACTATATTTTTATGAGCGCATGAACATTTGAGAGACATTTTATTTACAATCGCATGAGACATTTATATTTGTTTATTGCTTTTCATTTTTCTTGGATATTTAAACTGTTTGGAACATGCCTTATATGTTTATTCATTGATGTTTATATGTTTATTTTGTTCGTAACCTTATATGATTGTAGTCAATTCATTGATATTTATGTGTTAGTCAATTAAATATTGAAATACATGGATGCAACCAAAGAAGGCGTAGAAGGAGAGTTACAGCTATCGTATGTTTGATGCACGAATATTACAACTCGTACATAAAGCGCTTCACTTACATGACATCCTCATATGCAAGCCACAAATGGGTTAGGGAGTTGCTTGTGAGCCACCCAATGATATTTAGCAATATGTTCCGTATGACACAGACGATATTCATCGATCTGTAGGAGGAACCACACAAAAATCATGAACTTCATGGCTCGTCCGAGATGACTTCGCGAGAGGTTTTGGCGATAAACTGCTACATATTATCTCAGAATGAATTAATGTGATGAGCAATGGAGCAATTTCAATACTGCTCTTGAATAATTTGCAGATACTTCTCAGTATGGATTAATGCACTTGTAAGTTTTCCTCGCAAGTCATAAAACCAACTGTTCCTACATTCAAACGAACCCCCGTAGAGATTTCACACGATGTGTGGTACATGTCATAATTTAAGGTAATTTCTTCTATTTATTGTATTCAATTTTCAAAAAAATATTTTAATCACGTGACCCTTTGTTATTCTTCTAGAATTATATTGGAGCAATCGATAGAACACATGTTGATGCACATATTCTAAATAATGAGAAGATCACATTCATCAGTCATTGTGAGTCCCTAACATAGAATGACATGACGATATGCGACTTTAACACGTGCTTCTCCTTTGTTATGAAAGGTTGGAAGGGCAGTACATATGACAATCAATTTTTCAAAGCTGCAACATGAAATAACAAGTACACCTCCACCTACATCCACCTACAAGTATGCTTGAGACTGAGCTCATTTTTCTTTTAATATTAATCATGCAATTCACATTAGGTAAATACTATTTGGTTTATGTTTGATATTTGTTGCAACGAGAGTATCTCAAACCCTATTTTGATACAAGATAACACATATTTGACTTTAAGTGAGCCAGCAATGTCACACAAGATAGGAAAAAAAATGTTCAATTGAGAGGACTTTTGGCGTTTCGAAGAAGAGATGAGTTATAGTTCACGATATGTCATCTTACCCATTTCCCAAACATCGGGATACTCCACAATTATATTTGGAGGCATCATTCCTGCAACAACATCAACTTCTGTAAAGTGAACAAGGATCATGAGCATGTTCTTGCCGAAACATTTGAGTATCGACCTGGATAGTCTTTATCACAAGCTGAAAAGGATGACAGAATTAAGGGAACGAATTAAATACAAAAATTAAAAATATTCATTTTTGGAAGGGTCAAACAAGTTATATGAACAATTAAAAACTCCCACAATATATCAACGTCTATGAAATAAATTTACAAGTCAAACACACTCCCAATGAATACGAAAAACAAAAATTATCCTTTTTCCTTATTTTCCAACATCAAAATGAGTAAAAGAGCCAAAAAATCCAAAAAATGGGTTCTACCAAAATGCTGCAAGTTTGAAAACTTGCTTTCCAATAGTTTGTGATTAGTTTAACCATCAAAATTTTGGTAGAGGTCATGACTCATAAGCCTTCGGATTTTTGAAATTTTAAGGTTATGCAACATTCATTGGATACTTTAAAGATCTTCTTAAAGATTAAGCCGTGCTACAAATATTCCTAAATTTAGTTGTCCGACCTGAAACCTACTCTTGTAAAGTACAATCTCCATCATTATCACCATCAACATCATCAGCTTTATGCCAACATTTTTGGGTTGCCTTATGACACCTTATTTGTAATAAGTTTTTATGTGATGGAATAGATGAAGTATTACTTAATAAAGCGACTTGTACTCGCTGAAAAGGATCATCATGCACATCTTACCTCAAGCATCACAATTTCCATGTTATTTGCTTCTTGTGTAATGAATACAGTATGAATAAAGCAAGCTCAACGAACGAAGGGAAGTTGAGTTTGCAGCGGTGGCCAGTGCACTGCATGACACGCGCCATGGTTAACCCAAACCCTTCAGTGTGCGGCTCACCCATCTGAGTGCATGGTGCAGCTCAGCAGTAGTGCAGACCCGAATGTACATAGATCCCAATCCATGCTTCGGCGATGCCACATATCTATGTCAATCATCCGTTGGTCTCAAAATTAAGTTGACAAACATTTGCAGGAAGCCAGGAACAATGGCCCATTAGCCAATCAAGCTACCAATAATCATGGCAGGAGCAATGGCCACCTTTGAAGTGATGATAACGATTGACATCTCTTATTATGATCTCCCGATTCACAATCTGTGATATGAACTTTATAGCAATGTGACAGTCCTCACAGACTCGAATGTTCTTCTTAACCATAAGCACTGTATCAGGAGGAGTGCTAATTAGCCCAAATGCAATAGCCAGCCTCTCACTATGGCTTCTAACCATGTTCCTCTTCTCATCATCACTCACATTATGGAACACCGGCATGGTATCTGGCACATAGCCTGCCTGTTGCATGAGCCCCTCCAATCTTTCCAGCTCCCCATATATCTCTTTGGATTGAGGATGAGATAGATCCCCAACAAGAAAAGCATGATGCTTGTTCCTGATCTCTATCCAGCTACAAGCAATTGCCTTCTTCAATCCTCTTTCTGTCATTCTCTTCCTTATCCTGGCTGCTTCTTCCCAATTCCTAGCCTGGCAGTAGATGTTAGAAAGGATGACATAGTTTCCAGCATCGTCAGGCTCTAACTCTATCAGCTTCCTCAATGCCTTCTCTCCTAATTCAACATCTCCATGAATCTTGCACCCATTCAATAAAGCGCCCCAAACTCCAGAGTCTGGTTTCATGGGCATCTTGCTAATAAGCTGGTTGGCTTCTTCCAACCTACCGGCATGACCAAGGAGGTCAATCATGCAAGTGTAATGCTGCACAGTTGGCTTAATTGAGAAGTCGTGCAGCATGGAATCAAAGAATCTTCTTCCCTCCAGCAACAGGCCAGCATGACTGCAAGCTGATAAGACTCCAACAAATGTAATGTTATCCGGAAGCAAAATAGCTTCTTTTCTCATCTTCTCAAACAATGTGAGAGCCTCATCTGCATGGCCATGCATGGCATATCCAGAAATCATTGCATTCCAAGAAACAACCCTTTTTTCCAAAAGTTGCTCGAATAGAACACGGGCGAGCCGAACCCAGCCACACTTTGCATACATATCCAGGAGAGCAGTCTTTACCTTGTCTGCTGATGAAAACCCCATCCTCCAACTGAAGCCATGGATTTCCCTCCCTCTTGGTAAAGCAGCTGCGTCGGCTGAAGCTGAGATCACAGTCACAAGAGTCGCCACTGAAGGTTTGAGACCTTCTAAAGCCATGTTACGAAATAGAGACAGAGCTTCTGAGGGATGCCCATTCAGGGAGTACGCGGCAATCATGGAGTTCCACAGGACGACATCTCTCTTAGACATTCTATCAAACAGCCTCCGTGCATCTTCCACGGAACTGCACTTCGAATACATGTCAATAAGCCCAGCAGCCACAAAAACATCCAACTCCCATCTTGTGAGCACTGCAAGCTTGTGAATTTCCCTACCATTATCAATGTCAGAGAGGGCTGAGCAGGCCTTGAGGACGAAGGGGAAGGTGAAGTTATCAGGCAGAAGCCCATGTTCCAGCATTTGGTGGTAGAGCGAGATAGCAGATTCAAAAGGGCCGTTCCATGCGTAGCCGCGAATAAGGATGTTCCAGAGGAAGACATTTCTTTTGGGAATTCTATCGAACAGGTTTTGGGCGTATGGTAGATGATTGCAGTCGGAGTATAGATTAACAAGCTTAGTGGCAAGAACTGTGTCAAAGCCAAGGTTAGAGAGTAGCAGACGAGCGTGCAGCTGCTTGCCAGGGCCGATGGCCTTCCGGGAGACAAATGATTGGAGGAGAGAGAGGTATGCGTTGTAGTAATCTGATAGAATGGGATTTGGGTTAGGAAGAGAGTGGATGGGACGAAGGAGTTGGTTCAGATGCGGAAGCAAAGTTTTTGATGTTCTTCGGCTTATTATCATCTAATGTGATTTGAAGTTGAGGCAGGAAAAAAGATGCAATTTTTCATGCCGGGGCTCAGCGGAGATGGAGGACGAAGGACTTCCTATTGTTGGATTCACTTGGTTTTTATGCGATGTAAAAAGACAAAATTATATGATCACTTGTGTTTAATTTTATAATTTAAATTTAGATATAAATATATAAGTTCTCGCATCTATTTCTTTCACTTTTGTTGTATTTCACCCTACTAATTTAATTTCCCACTTCACCCGCACGATTAGGCTATGAATTTAGCTCATGTTCGGATCAACATAAATGAGCTCGAACCTTTGGATCGAGTTTTTTCCAAGCCAATTTCAAACTTATATAGATTGGCCCAAACTGACTCGAGAACAGCTCATAGTATTTTATATTTATAAAAATTATATATATAATATCAGATAAAATTGAATATAACAAGTCACGAGCCAATTTCGAACAGGAATGAATCTAAATAACGTAATTTGAGTCAGTTGGTTACAATTTTTAGCTGGATTGAGACGATTCTTAGCTGAAACATATCCAATAACTCAATTTGGTCCAGCCCATTTTGATTTCAAGCTGGATCGAGCTCGATTCAATAGCGAGCCAACTCAGCTCGAAATCGAATAGAATGGGCCGATTTCGAGTCGCACTAAATCTATTCGAGCAGAGACCCCATCTCAGCTTCAAATTGGATCATTAAAACAGCCGAAAAAGGATATTAACAATTTCTAAAGTCAAGAAAAGTTTTCCATGCACACCTTTTCCTAATTTTAATTTCCCTTCATGCAAGTCTTCAATGCTTTCATCAAATATATTGGAGAAAAGAAACAGCGACAAGTATCAACAGCTTTAAAATGTATATATTGCATACATAAAATGAATGTTAGAGAATCGCCTCAACAACTAAGCTTACAATAAAACCCAAGAAGGCGCCAACTAGAACCTGAATCCCATTGTGTCCCACTGATTCATTCAACAGCTTAAAACTGCTGTAGGATTTCTGTGATGGTTCTTTGACATCAACTTCTAAATCAGGCAGTGTGCTCAATTTAGTTGCTGCAACTCCAGTGCTGTTTGGTTGATAAGGATCTAACTTTCCAATGCGGGGATCTGGATTCTCTGAGACAGAGAAAAGAGGGGAGATTTCTTTGGAATTTATTGAGGATCCTGCAGGTTTTGAATCCAAATCAGAGTCCATCTGTAACTTGTTCAGAATCTTTGCTTGATTGCCCACTTCTCTTCGAACTCCCTGAATTTCACAGATAGAATTTGAGAAACCAAGGCTCTGTTAAGTTTGGTAGCGCCCTGTTAGCAGGAATTATGATTGGGATTTATTAAATTCAGCCAAAAATTAAAAATCATAAGTTTCATGGATTGATGAAATTTCGGATTTAAGGCCTGAATTATCTTCGACTCATGTTAAATTTGGATTTAATAAATCCAGCGAGAGGGTGGATTTTATAATTGACTACTAATGCTAAATCTTTCCTGCTGAACTGAAAAACACCCCCAAAGATATTTAATTGAAAGTAGTTTTCACCAAGTTATTTGGTCAAGGAGAAAGTGAGGAAAAAACTAATTTTCCTATATTTGGTTTGCTACAATGAATGGCTAATCATTTTTTCTTCACATTTATTAGAATTTAATGGAGAATTGTCGATGCAAAAATGCTTTTAACTACATTTTCAAGATAAATGCAATGACTAAATAATTTGATTGAAACCAAACGTGAAATATAAACCATAATGGCTTTGAGCTCCATCTTGACCAAAATTTTGTCAGAATATCCTATTCTAACTTTTTCCGATTGTAATTGCCCTTGACACACAATATTTATACCTGGGAAGTAGTTTCCTTGTTTTCATATAGTACAATCTATCATGAATATAAAAAAAGAGATCGATCCATATAATCGATTTCAGTGATCTCCAGCTTGTGCTCATCATGTAGAAACATCCTCAAAAGGTGCATGTCAGTGAGAAGATCAAAAACAAGACCATATCACTTTGCATGCTAAAAATAATTAATTACTTCACTATTTCTTCTTTAGAACAAGTAAGGCTTGGACTCCAATTTAATTTAAGCTCGCCTAAAAATTAAAAGAAGCGCTGGTGCAAGTATTTGGACTAGTAGTTGAGAGTTTTGTCTTTCAACCAAGAAATCGTTAGGTTCAAGGCCTTGAATATGTGGTGTGCGTTGTTTCGGTGTGTGAAAAAAAAAAGTTGGAAGTAGCACTCCGAATATCAAGTCTTGGTTCCCAAATCCAAACATGCAAACCAAGTCCCCTAATTTTTTAAATAATATTTTTATTGTTTAGATGTTTTTAAAGATATTTTATTTTGAATGAACTTACATGCTATTTATATAGAATTCATGGACTATTATTGTATTGGAGAAAGGTTTTGGTGTTGCCATATTTCTTGCCCTCAAATGCTAAACCTACACATACATCGCCTACTCTCTGTCATCCAAATCTCAAACCTAAAACCAAATTCCTCTCATCTATCCCTCTCTCTCCACATCAAATCTTAGCCCCTAGATTTGCACCTCTCATCTAACCCTACTTTTACCAAAAACTCTAACAAAGCCATCACTTGGCATCTCCTATAATCCATAAAATTCAAATCCAAGCTTCTCCTATTCAGCCAACTCATCTTTCCCAAAAAAATATCAAACCATAACCCATCATTACCACCCCACAAATATCAACCCTAAGTATTACTCTACCAAACACCACCAAAATATAACACCTTAACACCAATTCTCAAAACTAGCATCACCATCTGTCCCTCTTTGCTTTGAAACTTGATATACATCCAAGAAAGCTGGATTTTTTATTTTTTTATTTTTGCCTTAAATCATAGTGCTCCAACACAAATATCGATCAAACTAACTCTCTTTGCTTTCATGACAATCAACGAACCAATAGAAAATTCAAAATCTCCTAAGACTTTGAATCCTTTTCCACTTGGAACACTTAGAGACATCAAATTCTTCTCAAATAACTCATTAGCATCCATCTACAGTAGTTACCAAAAGAGCTTTATCTAAATATGCACCTAAGCAATCTACAACAACTTTGACAATTGCTAACTTATCCTCCTTGAAGCTGTTATTGGCAAGCTACTTATTCTTCTTCTGGCTTAACAATCTCTTTTAGGTGTCATTTCTTTTGACAATAGAACCAATTTGCAATCTTGCAACTATCACGAGACTAACATCCACAAAGATTAGGTACATTTCATCACAAAAAATACCATAACTAACAATCCCTCGATCTACTTTTCATCTCTTACACCCTCAAGCTTAGAAGTTATAAACTTAGAAGTCAATTCCTTAACAAAGCCACAGGTCATATTCCAGCAACTTCACCAAGCCACAATCTCCCTCAAAAACGATCCTCAACCTGTAAAGAAAACCACTCCTGCAAAACCCTATCCTCTTTGTCCTTGCAATAACAAACTGTACAGGCTGTTTCAGAAACCATTTCTATAAATACTGTACTTAGGGAAGTCATTAATATGAAGGATACAACAAATACGCTGAAACATAGAAAGCTATGCTTTTATGCTCTCCACATAAATATATGCTTCTTCAATTCAGCCTCCTATCTTTTTTATCATATCAAAGTCTGCTTAAAGGTATTTGAGGGCAGAAAGGAATGTCATCACCATAAAGCTCGCACCAGAAACTCACCTCATGGCATTCAGAAGCCCTAAAATTAATCCATGCCAATGGTTTTGAGTGCCATTTGAATGGCTCTACAGGCTGTCCACCCAGATATCTACAAGATAAAATTGGAACAGACTCAGGCGATCCATGACCAGAGGAAAATATGTTGAGATTTTCATACCTATTTTATACTGTTTTTGATGATATTGCACTTTAAAGAAAGGTATTTTTGATGTTTTGTTGCAGGAATGATGAATTAGAATCATTGGAGCAAAAAAATGTAAAAATGAGCAAATTTGGAGCGAAAAGAACCAAAATGTGCAGAATTTAACTGGGGCGCTGACAGCACCATCGACCCTGCCGACGACAAGATTTTCCCGAGACTCCAGCATTAATTCATTAAGAAGGTCCACCAACGGCGC